CATTTTTTTGGTCCTATGTTATTGATTATTTGATCCATTTTTTGATTTACAATTTAGAGTTTATTTTTGTAAGTTTTATAGTGAAGCAAGAAACCAGGAAAGAGTCCAATAGATGGTCTATAAAAATTTCACAATAAAAAGTAAGCATTTTTTTTAAAGTGTTATTATGGATGAAAACATTTATTGATTATTTGTTTTTTAAACAAAATAAAATTGTATTCAATGATGATTATTTGAAAGTTTGGTTATTTTGATTTTTTACCAAAAAATAAGTGAATGGATGCTACAATAGTTCAAAATTTGCATCATATTCACTATGAAGACTTTATTCACAGAGATTTTCATCCAGGAAATATTTTAATAGGTGCAAATACCAACAATTGACCTGTTAGTTTTAAAAGTTAACTCATTTCAACTACTAATTAATTCATCAAGAGAAAGATTTTTAAGGTCATAATAGTCATAACAACTTCATTTGATTGAATTTCATCCTTCATATCCATTTTCTAAGATTCCTTTTAGAGTCAAATTATCTTCTATCTTACCTTCTTTTAATCACTTTCAAAATAATTCTTTGCTTTCTTCAGAGTTTAATTTGATGAGGTTGATAAAGATATCTCTTTTAGCCTTATTTCTTACCTGTCAATGAACCCCTGATTGCTTATAATAAGGATAATATTGATAAGTATTGAGAACTAAATTCCTGCAAGCTGGTTCAGTAGGATATAATTTACAAAAATTAGACCACTTTTCTTGGTTGCAATAAACTTTCATAATTTCACCAACCACATCTACATCAGGATTGTTAGTGTAATGGCTTTCACTTAAAACAGTGGCTATTCATTGTCTAATTTCTTCATCATTCAACTGTTTAAATTGTAAGAGTGCTTTTAATTTTTACTACTTCCTTTAATAGTTGTTTATTTCACTCCTGGAGTTCATTTATTGTGTTTACCATATTTTTTTTTAATTTTTTTATTTGCTCTTTTAATATACTTATATCCTTTTTATGATGATATATGAATTATTTTAGTACTTTTTTACTTTAAAGTGGGAAAAGCTAATAATATTTGTCAAAAGATTAAACTTATTAAACTTAATGACAGCAAGGGGACAAATTAACAAGTGTGATAAAGTAATGAAGGTGATTTTATTTTAAATATTTTATTTGTTGCCAATATAGAATGGCTTTGGACAAGTAATATCTTTGTATTCATCTTTCACAAATGAACAAATATTCTTGTAAAGATACTCTTGTTTTTTGTAATCCAAAGGCCTGTTAGAATATTCTTCTTGAGCAATGAACACCAAAATTTTATCTCTTGAGCTATGGGTACCAAAATTCTTGTGTCAATTTTTTTGGTGGTTCAATTTTGGTTAGATTTTGCTATATGTACTTGGATATATTTTGCTTCAAAATAGCTCATGTTGTTTGCAAAGGATGTTTAATATGCACGGAAATGACCTTCAATCCTCTGCTTTGCTTCGGATTTTAGGTCTTAAAAAAGCATATGCTTTGTTTATTTATTTACATGAGCTACGAGTGGCTCTTGAATTATAATGTAAGCATTGTGGGAGTTAGACATGACCTTCTACAAAAATGATGATGCATACATAAATTTGTTGTCATTTGAATGATGAGCCATATGTGTTTAACCCACAAGCCCTAAATGGCATACCAAAAAAGGTCTGAGTCATGACAAAGTATGCTTTCTCAAATGATGGCGTGTACATAAATCTGTTGTCACTCTAATGATGAGGCATTTGTAAATCAGTCATCACTCACCTATGCGTTTTGCACCAGAACCCTCATTTTTGCCCTACTAGAGCAATATTATTAATGCAAAGATTACTAATTAAGAGTGTAATATTTTCCAAGGATGAGAGAAACTGTTATCATTATATATTTAGGTTTTTATCAAAAAAAATTTTTTTTTAATGTTTAGCTGCAGGAAATTTTATTTATTTAGAAGAAAATATAAATAATCCTAAATTAAATTAATCATTAATTTTTTTTTACTAACTTATATACTTCACATTCTTCTAACAGAAAAACTTTTTTATCATTATTTCCAAGATTTAAATTATTTTTATAAGAATGATCACTAGAAAAATAATAACGACAATAAAGTTCACTATTAATACTGTTGTATAATCGTAAATCTTCAAAGTTTATGGTAGCTTCATGAAAATCTATATTATCTGAAGCAAAAATATTAGTTTGGCCATAATGATATATTGCACATTCAGGTATTTCAACCCTACTTAATATTGAATTGCCAAATAATTTTTCATTAATTTTAAAAATAAAACTTTTATCAGTTTCAATCCAATATCCTTCATCTAAAGATTTATCTTTTCTATTCCAATAAACTGGGTTATAGCCACCCACTAATTCACCTGTTTCTTTTAGTTTCATAAATACTACAGTTTGTTTGATGTTATAACATTTTTGTTCAAAAACTGATTTTGAAGATCCATCTTGAGTGCTTTGAAGAATTAATTCAAAATCATATGGAATGTCATTTTCACTATAATAGCCATTACTTTGATCAATCCAACCAGAAACCAGTAATTTCATTTTTGAGTTTAATAATTTTCCTTTGCTACTTCTTGTTCTTGGACCTTTATAATGAAGAAATCTAGGTTGCCATTTATCTGTAAAATAATATTGAAGAATTTCTTCGTATATATTTTTATCAAAAATCTTTCTATAAGGTTTGACTTTATCATAGAAATTTTCTTTAGTTATTTCACTGAATCTTATTAATAAAATAATGTCTTCTAATATACTTTTCATCCTCTTGAAATCATTTTTATTCCATTTTGAAATATCTTTTTCTAATGACTTATTTTGTCTTATTCCCCATTGAATGACATAATACCAAATATCAATCTCATCTAATTTCAAATTATCACTTTCCAATATTGATACAAGCATTGGTTTTTCAATTGTTGCAATGTCATTGGATTTTAAAATTGAACCTGGATTTTCACAAATCAATTTATCACAAAAATCTTGAAGTGAACTAAATTGATGTTTTGATGAAACTTTATGAACATAAATAAAATTTTGGTGGAGCCATTTACTTTTTTCATTGATTAAATAATTTTGTAAATCATCAATTAATTCATTAAAGTTTAACTCATCACATGCTTCAATGAGTTCCAGAATTTGGTTTAAATCCAGGCTATCTATATTGAGAATTCCATTGTACATATACCTTTTAAAAATGTAAATACATAAAAAAAATAATTCATTTAATAAATCAATTCTTTATTTATTTTTATTAATAAATCAAATCAACTTACATTAAAAGAATTTCAAAAACTCTTGGAGAAATATTTTCTTTTTCAAATAAAATGGTACCATGATCAGACCTTTTAATCCAATTATTGGATAAAGCTGCTTTAAAATACAAAGATCTCGCCTTTAAAATGGTAGAATGAACTTTAAAAATTCTGACATCTTCCACTCCTCCAACTTTGATTTCTACATCATAATAATCTGAGTTATTTAACAAATTTGAAAAATCAATTACTAATTTATTAATATATTTTAAAGATGAAGCATTATTAATGTTAAGGTTTTTAAGCAAGTATGTAATATTTTCCAAGGATGAGAAACTATTATTAGACATTTCAAAGAAAAAAAATTTTTTTTAAAGAATTTAAATATTAACTAACATTAATATTAATTGCCAATTTATATTTCAATTTATTTATTTGGTGTAATCAATCATTTAGTCTATATATAATATAATATGGGCCGATCAACGTCCTGTGACATTTAAAGATTCCACTTAAGATAGTAAAAGTAATAGAGTGGGAGTGTTGAGGATGGTAAGAGTAGTAGTAAAATCGTTAGATAGTGAATTATTTATATCGGGTAAAGGTTTGATGGTAAAGAATAAAAAACATATATTTATTATTATGATGATGATTAGGATTAGAAATGTAAACCATATAACAATCATTTCCATGCTATTCCTCCCTCTACTAGTTCACCTTCTATTTTTACTATCAATTAAAATTAATTGACGAAATTCAATTGATGATCTGTCTATGAATCAATGAGTATTAGTGATCTGCGCGGGGAAGAAACACTAATCAGTAAGTAACCTTTTATAAGAACATATTCATGTATTTTTTATTGCCATTAATAATATAAAGAAAAAAAGTTTTCTCTTTACAATGCGTTGATTGTCGAGCTTTGTATATATTGAAAAAACCAATTTTCCGTGTAACACTTGTAAATGATGAATAATAATATTGTGTATGTTTGTAATAAAATATGATACAATTGCTTGCATATTATTATTATTTATTATATTTATTATATTAGTATTAAAGTAGTACTAGTACCTGTGTGTAAAGTACTCACTTTCAGTACTTAAAAATAGGTTTGAATACGTAATTTTTAGTGACTAAAATATGTTTTGACAACGAAAATGCGGTTATATTAATCAATACGTGTATAGTAATTGATTTTAATTGGTAATTTATAATATATGTATTCAGTGCCTTGTTCATTAACATCTTCAAAAGGGCAGGGTTATGACTGCTCTTATAACTTGTCCACAACAAACTGCTTGACAACTTGTGATAAATTTAAAATCAAAAATTACTCATATTCTCGATTCACCGCATAAAAAAATCATTATCTTTTTGAGGTTTGAATTTTGAGAATGCATACGAACATTGAACAAATAAAAAAAGTAAAAAAGATCACATTTTAAAGATGGCTTTGTACCGAAAAAGTATCAAATTTGAGGTACTAGAAGGAAATTAATGAATAGTAAAATGGTCCTTGTACCATTGTACCAATGAAATTCAGTATTTGTGTTGTTTTTGATATAATTTATACTGTTTTAGATATGTTTGGGTAATATTTTTGATGCAATTATTATCTTTGTACCAGCTTTGTACCAGTTGTACCAATGCTAGCGTATGTGTGTTCATGTGTGACTTCGCTCTCTCAACAGAATGAAGAGATCCAAATGAGTAGAAGAGTAATGCTCGATCTCGCAGTCCACAGTGACATTAAGGACTGGGAAAATTCTATTGAATGTGGCTGTCAACATTATGACTTGAATGTGACTGCTGCAAGCATTATCTATAATTCGGGTTAATAGTGAATTAATTTTAATATTAAATCCAAAAAAGGAAATTCGAACCGAAAAAATGGACTATTTCTATTACTATTACTATCACTCTGGAAATTGTACTTTAAAAATTCGAATTCTCCTTTAGAAATTTTTTAGAGTAAATAAAAAACTTTATTACAAATGAAAAAAAATTTTCCGGAAGGAAAATTATTTATTAACTAATTCACATTCGGGAAAATTTTCCGCTTTTTTTTTTTTCCAGATATTAATATTAATATCTTGATAAAAATTTAAAAAGATGAATTTTCTCCACTATTTATTGTTAAAAAAATTTTATTGCTAAATTTATAAATAATAATAGTAATAACAATATGTCGCTACCAGCTAGTTTAGGAAAACAAAAGGAATTAGGACTTGCTCGTGTATTGGGTTCCGGAGCTTCAGGAATATTTGAATTAATTATATTTCATCCTGTTGATACTATTTCAAAACGTTTAATGACTAATCAACAAAAAGTAAATAAATATTGGACTTTTTTTATGATGGATGGAATTATAAAAGAATTATTTTTGTTTTGCTTTGCTAATTAGTTTGCTTATTAGGTTTTTATATCTGGTGCACCATTATCTCAAGTTCTTGATAATTTAGAGCGAGCCGTATTTAAAGTAAAAAATCCGATTTATTTTTTTTCGGTAAAATTTTTTGTACAAAAATTCTCTTAGTGAATAAATAATAATAATATTATTATTATTATAGGATAAGCATTCCGCAAATCTTTTACATAAATACACATCATTGTTTCCAGGATTAGGTTATGCAGGTGGATACAAAGTACTCCAAAGAATTTATAAATATGGTGGTCAACCATATGTAAGAGATTATATCAACAGCAATCATCAAGATGTATTCTATAAATTATTCGGTGAAAAAAGTGGCAAAACTATAATACATGCCACTGCTGGAAGGTAAATATGTTTGGAATGGATGTTACGACGTAATTAGTAGGATGAATTTAATTTTAAAAATAAATAATTATTGATAGTTTAATTGGGATCGGAGAGGTGGCACTTTTACCATTAGATGTAATGAAAATTAAACGTCAAACAAATCCTAAAACATTAAAAGACAGAAATATTTTCAAAGTTTTTTGGGATGAAGGACTTGGACTTTATAGGTAAACATCCGCTCATATAATAATTGATTAATTATATATGACCAAAGAACGATTCTATAATAATAATCGATTTATAAATATATGTATTCAGAGGTGGCCTTTGGACAGCAGCACGTAATGCACCAGGAAGTTTTGCATTAGTAAGAAAGCCATTTCATACATTATCATAACAATAACAAATATTATTATTATATTACAATTTAATTCAATTAAAATTTATAATATTAATGTTAGTTTGGTGGATCAGCTTTTGTTAAAGAATATTTGTTTGGATTAAAAGATTATTCTAAAGCAACATTTTTTCAAACTTTCTGCGCATCAATTGGTGGTGCTATTGCTTCTATAAGTGTCGCTCAACCACTTGATGTAATTAAAACTCGTATCCAAAATAGACCTTTTGATTCACCTGAAACTGGAACACAAATTATTTGCAAAATGATACACAAAGAAGGTAATAATTTTAAAATTAAAATTTACACATGTACTTTTTTTTTTTTAATAATAATATTATTATCGTTGTTTTTTTAGGCACAAGTGCATTCTTTAAAGGAATAACACCTAAAATGATCATTGTTGGTCCTAAATTAGTTTTCTCTTTCACAATTGCACAACAATTAATTTCAATATTAAACAATTTCTTTTCATCTAAAGGAGTAGTCAAACCAAATCCTCTCTAATTATTAGTTTTGTTTATGAATTAAAATAGATTTGTCAAATTTGGTGGAATTTATAAATTAATTCCAATATTATCCGTCAGGTTTAATCAATTAATTATACACTTTTATTTTTATATTATTATATATTTATTAATTAAATCTAAATTTATTAATGACAATGTTACTATATAATTGGAACTGACATTAATACCTTATATAGTATCAAATAGGGATTGTCATCATCATGCATGCTAACCATTCTTACTAAATTAATATTTTCATGGTATTACAAATTAGCCCTTTAACTCGATCAATGCATTGTTGTATTTTGCTTTACTGACAATAGCATTGATAATTTATAAACTTCACCTTCTTCTGACAACTGAACATTCTTATTATATTTTTAAGATTCATATTTTCATAAAAAGAATATGTAACATAATAATATCAATTATTAATCAAATTATTTTTTTTGAATTTGGAGTTATACATTCGTTTTTGTCAATAATTGATTCTATAAATATCAATAAAATAAGTTCTGTGGATGAAACTTTTCAATTATTCAACATGAACAATTATTCTCTCAACCAAAGCAAGCAAGTGAAATTGAAGTTTATCTTGTGAAAAATCATTTTCTTTTCACTCCTTCCACTTGTGACTGTATCTATTGTTAACGAAGAGTATAAATCCGAAGAGGATTATATGATGCAATTATTAACACATCCTTTCCAGTCTTTTTTGCCATTCTGTTGAATGTTTCAGGGGAATCTGGACGCATAAAAAGTTGGAATAGTCTTTAAAGAGTTATCTGTTTTTTATTTATATCTGTTTATTCTTGATATTATTCCCAGCTATATTCATTCCAACATTCTGGATTGTTATTATTACAACTAACCATCGTAATTCCTTGCATTATTTGGGATGTTGTTAGTTCCAACATTCATTTTTTTAATATTATATTGTCTTAGTGAGTGTTGTGGCTTAAAGAAATTGCGACAAATGGCCAATCGATTTTTATTTTGTCAAGTCATGCATATTCATACTGGTTCTCTCTTTGACAAGAAAGGTATCCTTCTTTACAGAAAGGAGCCAGCACCTGATAACTTTCTAGCTACTTCAACAACAATAACTCAAGTTATGCTGCAAAAAATAATAGATGAAGGAAATGAACAAATCAATGGCTGAAATGAAAGAATCAATAATAAATTTTGTGTGAATAAAAATAATAATTCGATATAAATATATCCATAATTAATTTTCAAATAAAAAAATTTGAAAAGAAAAATTAATCAATTTAGATAATGATGATGATGATGACCTCAATTTTTCATTACTTTGAATGACAAAAACACAATACTCGTAACAGAATATAAAATAATAATAATGAAGAGATACTGTATATCATTGCATAATAATAGCGAACCATTAGGTAGTAATGAACCTTTTGATCATGAAAGGGATTTTGAATGGATTAATAAATTTTTAAATAATGATTATCAAAATATATCTGACAGTGATATAAAGGTTTCTAATACAATTATTGAATCAATTTCATCTGATGTTTTGGATAATATTAGTTAGTAATCAGTTAATGTAATAGGAGATTTGCAAGAAAATTATTTGGTATATATGAATGCTTACAGAAAAGGGTCGAAAATATAAGGAGAGTACCCGGGTTCGTATTTGAAAAATCACAAAAATTGGATTATAATAGTTTGGTATGGTAAAAAAACTTTCTTACGAATAATTCCAACCCAACGTTAAGGAATTTTCCAACTATCGACATGATCATATTTCTTTAATGAATTGGCTCATATTTTCTGAAATTAAAGCTTATTGTGATGAAATTGACATTGTATCCTGTACAGACATTTTTGCCACTTGCACTCTTGCTTGATAGAAGGCATTTTTTATTAAAAGAGAAAATTTAAAAAAAAAATTTTTTTTACTTAAATACAAATAATTAATAATGAGAATGATAATAGTACTTGTCGAGATACTTCGGATTCGCTGCCAACTTTAAATAACATCCGGCTCTAACTACCTTCACTAGTAGCCGAAATTACCGAAACACTTTGGGCAAAGATTTATTTTTTATAATTTTCATTAATAAATTATTTAAACTAAAATAGGTTGTTTCTTCATGTTCATTCTTATATAAAAAATATCGTAACACCACTATTACTATAGTGGATGAAACTTAATAATGTTAAGGCGCTAGACTAAAAGAAGGTATGAATATTTTTATAAAATATAAAGTTATATTATTTAATAGACAAACAATCAAATAAATGCTTGAATACATTTCTCGTCTAACTCTTGAATTACCTCTTCCATTTTTTTGAATTACATTGACAATAAGTTAAGTTTGCCAGTAATAGTTTTTGGTGGCTATGAAATGATATAATTTAAATTTATTAGTACGTACAATTTAATAATAATAAAGTCTTTTGAGAAAGTCAGGTGATAGCCGCTTTTGCGGCAAAAATTTTACAAAAAAAGTATTTGGTCCAATTTAATTTGTTTTTTTGGTCAAAAAGCAATAATAATTACCTTTTTTTATTAATTTGTAATTTGGTGGGATTGAAGGATTTTTTGATTAAATAATCAATGGGCGTACATATTATAAATATTATAATTATATTTGGTAACGACCGGAAAATACATGTTTAGAGCGTAATAGTAAAAAAAAAATTTGTTGCGCGAATTTCGGTTACAAGGGAAGGAGCATCAAAAAGCTAGCTATTTTTTTAAGTACTACTGTATATATCATCTGTATTATAATCCAACCTTATGCGCTTTTTTCAAGAGGTAAACGAGCCTTTGAGCTCCTGGAGGATGAGGCATCAAACCGAACGGAAGATACGACAAGATTATTGGGCAAAAATTGATTCCTGCAACAGTCAATAAACGTTTGATTAACATTGCTTTTGTGTTATTATAATTGATAATTTGTCTTGTCTTTTTACTACAACAAAATACGCTCGCGATGCACACAAAGCGACATCAAGCGAAACAGATATTCACTCACTTGTATTCACTGAATTAATGATACCCGACGAAATGTTTTTGTAGGCGGGAAATTATTTCGTCACATTTGGTGACGAAAAGAGAAAAATGGAGAAAAGGAGATATTATAAACAATTCTAAAAAAAAAAATTTTTTAACAAAATTTTTCTTTTAAATTTAATATCTTTCATTAAAACTAATCAAGATGAATCAATTTACAAATTTTCTGATAATAATTATGATCCAAGAGATTTAGTAAAAGATATCTTTGTTGAAGATGAATTTGAAAGTGAACATAATTCAGAAAATAGTTATTTTCGTGGATATTGTAAAGTTAATGAAACTGATAGAAATAATTACTTGGAACAAGAATGTTATGATATTGACATTAATAACAGTCTTATGATAACAATTCTGGAAATAATACAAATGAAGATGATGATAATAATTCTCAAAAATTAGTTACAAACCAGAAGAAACGTGGATTACGTAGCTCATCCAAAATTTGACTCAGACAAAAGAGTAAAAATTAAAAAAAAAAATATTAATGGAGATTATTACAAAAATTTCTTTGTGAAAATGGTTATATTTTTTTCCCCTCTTTTCCTTTTCGTCAATATGCTCTTTGTAACATTTACTTTATGGGAAGGAAAAGAATAAATATGGGTAAGAGAGACATTGTGATGAATGAAATTTGCTAAACACCACTTCCGCGTTTTATTGTTTGTTACACGTAATCCAAAAAAAACTAAAAAATAAAAAGGATCTGAATAATAATAATTCACAAAATGAATTAATCAAACGCAATTTGAAGAACAGGTTTTTTGTGCCTGATAAAAAACACTAATTCGGCAATGAATTAAATAAATAACACATAAAAATAGTATAATAAAAATTTTTATGCACTTGTATTTGGTTCTTTTTGATTTGTCAAAAAAAATAAAAATAAAAAACTTTCTTTTTTTTAATTTATTTTTTATAAACAAAATTTAAAAACTTATCAATAAAAATTATTAAACTTTCAACATTATCATCATATTATATCCCATTCCATCATCAAAATCCTCCATACATACATACATCATCAACATAATTTGCAAATAAAAATGTTATCATTAAAATATATAAGTTTATTAACGTTATGCATTCAGAATAGTACGCTGGTAATCGTGATGAGATATTCTAGGCTTGTTCAAGATAAAGATGCATTATATTTCACATCTACGGCAGTTTTCCTATCGGAATTATCCAAACTAATCATTTCTGTTTATATGGCTATACAAAATCAAATAAAGACAAATGGTCGTTTCAACCTACAAGAGCTTTTCAATGAAGTGTTTGCACAAGATGCATGGAAATTAGCAATACCGGCCATTTTGTACACAATCCAAAATAATTTACAATACATAGCAGTAAGTTTACTGGATGCTGCTACTTTTCAAGTAACTTATCAATTAAAAATATTAACAACAGCTTTATGCTCAGTGATAATGTTGAGAACATCATTGAGTGGTGCTAAATGGATTTCTCTAGGGTTACTGACATTTGGTGTCATATTGGTACAATTAAGAACTAATACTACAGTTGTAAGTGAGGATAATGGTGACGATGATGTGGAAAATTTAATAGCTGAAGAACCATTATTGGAGGAAGAACAAGTCGTGGTTGAAAGAATGCTTGGTTTGTTATCAGTTGCTATAGCATGTATCATCTCAGGTATAGCCGGGGTGTATTTTGAAATGGTGTTGAAGGGATCAAAAGCATCCATATGGACACGCAATGTACAATTATCATTCTTTTCTTTATTTCCAGCATTGATTATAGGAGTTTGGTGGAAAGATGGTGAGGGAGTTTGGGAAAAAGGTTTCTTCCATGGTTACAATATGATTGTTGTTGGTGCCATAACTTGTCAAGCTGTGGGCGGTATCATAGTAGCCATGGTTGTAAAATATGCTGATAATATTCTTAAAGGGTTTGCAACCTCCATTTCCATCATAATATCATTCTTGGCATCTGTTTTCTTATTTGATTTTGTTGTCACTTTTAAATTTTTGGTTGGTTCAACTTTTGTATTGATTGCAACTTATATGTATAGTCAACCAGAAAATAAATCATCACCATCATCATCATCGCCTTCCTCTTCTCCTTTATCTTCACCAAAATCAGATGGCAACAGTACTATAATTAATAGTCATCATGATCATAATTCACCTTCAAAGTCGTCATTATCATCATCAACAACGCTTTTATCATTGTCATCTTCTAATAGCAATAATATGGATTACAAAAAAATTGATGACAAAGATATAATAGAATCGGCAGTTTAGCGAAAACCTAAACTAGGCGTATAAGAGGCATTAATATCCATAATTGTATAAATAAAAAAAGAAACAATTTTCAATTCTCTCTGTTGGTTCAACATGCAAAATCAATTTATAGTAATCAAACAATTATATATTAATAGAATTAATATAATTAATTAGTTAATATAATATATGTGTGATTTTTTTATGTAGGTTTTAATTAACATAGTATTTAAATTATATAAAAATAAAATAGAATTTTCACATCAGTAAAAGTAGTAAACTAGTTTTAGCAATTATTTTAATATATACATAATGTCAAAGCACGTTGTTCCAATTTATATCAACCAACAAAAATAAATTTACATTCAGTCTATAAATTTTTTTATAAAAAAAAGATATTAAATAATAGAAGACAAATAATATATTTTTATGAATGAATTCACTAAAAAATAACAATTTTAACAAAAATCTAGATAAAAATAAATTAAAAGGTTTGAACTTACTTTTAAAAAGAGAGCATTATGAATATTATTTTATAAATTCTACATGCTTTAATGAAATATTACAAGTTTAAACAAGATCTTTTTTGAATAATTGTATTATTATTTGAGTTGGTTGAAATTGAACTTAGATGGATGTAAAGCTAGCATTATCCAAAACATCATGAAATAGATCAATAGTCGTATTAGATATATTTTGATCATAATCCCTTCAAAATCCCTTTCATGATCAAAAGGTTCACCACAAATTATTATTATTATTACTGTTGTCATTTTTATTATTATTACTTTTATTATTATCTTTTATTCTGCTATGAATATTGTGTCTTTTGTGGCAAATGAATGGTAGGTCTTTTACTTTGCCATTCCAAGTAAATAAATGAACGTCAAGAGGAAAAAAAATCTTTGGCCGGTTGACACTACTATCAAAAATACTCGATGAAGGAAAAACATGACTTTATGTCCCCGGCCTTCAATAAATTCTGGGAAACAAATCTTCTTATAAAGATATGATACGTGCAGCACAACAGTCTTCCCTTGTTGAAGAGTTTTTTTGCAATCAGTACATATTCGGGTGATTTTCTGCCAGTCGACCAAAGGTCATGCTCTCTTAAATTTCTTTTTGCTTTCATCTTCTAAATGCATTTTTTGAGTCAGCCCTAAATTCTTCACTGTCACTGGGTTCATCCGAATACCAATCAAAAAACCATCAGCAGCACAATATAATGGCTGGTTGCATTGTCAAACGCAAATACACCTACTACATCTGGAAAACATCAAAGATTGTTTTGTTTTGAATCTCGTAATAAATTTTAATAAATTTCGAAAAAAAAATTTTTCAGCTTCATTTTTGTTTGAAGATTTAATTGAACCTCTTTTCAGATGAAGCATTAACTATATGATGAATTATAACAGTTTATCTAAAGGATATTTCCTTTAATTAATGATGGGATCTAACAAATCATCATTACGACATTCGTATAATAATTTCCACTGTATATAACTGATATGATCATTCTTGTCTTAAATCCGAATACAATAAATAATTTTTGGAATTTGCTAATATTACCATTATACCAAAATATTTTCCTCAAATCCAAACAACAGAGATGAAATGAAATCTATATGATACTTCATTAATTAATGACAGTTATCCTAAGGACAACCACGGTCCAATCAGACCGCCATCTGAATTATTACAATAAAAATTTTTTTTATAGCTCGAGTAATGAAAGTTTTAATTCCTTAAAAATATCTTTTATATCTTCTATTAATTAAATAATAACACGTTTCACATAAAAGATAGGTTTTTCTGATTCGCACAATATAAAATTGTGTCGAGATTGGAGCTGGTTAATTAACCGGTTAAATATATAAAAAAAATTTTTTTTATTTAAGCAGAATCACTCATCTATGTATAATTATGTTATTTGATAAAATTTAAAAAAATGCACTGAATTAGCAATTTCCCATCTATTATTATGAAATATATGAAGAATTATTGTCGACTTGCTTTACCATTTAATTTCTCGACAATTTTTATAATTAATTCATTTGTAATCCCCCCGAGTATAATTTTGACTAATCTCGATACTGATCAACTTACATTCATTAATCCTTAAATTAACACGATAAGAATTTCATATTATATATATAGTTGGCTGCATATTTGGTATATGATATTTGTCGGAAATTTTCTGGATAAAAAATAAAAATGTTGCTACTACTATTAATTTTACTATAACAAATAATTAAAGAATGTAAAAAGGTTTTATTTATGAAGCAAAATCATTACTTACGATGACCGTAATTATTTATATTGCTATATCGTTTTTGGAATCATACTATAAAATCGTGAAAAATCTGTTGTAGAACAAAACATAATGACTCTGAACAAAAATATAAAAGTACACCTTACAAAGATTTTCGAGTTTTTTTGTTAGCAGTTATTGTGAAAAATTAGCATTGTAATTATTGAGGCATTCAACAAATGCTGATAGATCTATCAGAGAAAACTGATAAACTAAAAAAGCCCTTTTTAATTTAATATTGTAAAAATGGCGAGTAGTTTTCAAAAAGGTAAATATAAATTTAGGAAATATAGTAATGATGTCAGCCGGATGAGAAATTTTAAACGACTCAGTCAGCCAACGTCTTTATATCACTATTTATAGTAAATTGCTTTTTAAAAATTTGTAACACACAACCCGCTGCCAAGTATTAAAAATAAAGAATATACGAAAATGATTTAATTCTCAAGAAGTATTATATTAGAAAAATCAATAATATTAATATCAATACGTTAAAAATTATCATAAATCACATTACACGTAATAATCGAATTAATTATACAAGCTTGATTTGAGCTCTTTCGATTTCTGGGACTTTAAGTTTACAACGCAAATCAAAAATTACAATCATTAAAAACATCTACGTGTCTGTTTATTCGAAAATATTAATACAAATTGTTTTAAAGAAAAATACATGATTTAATTCTCAAGAAAGATTAATTTTAGAAGAACTAATAATATTAATACATACATAATATACAATAACAATTAATTGTATTAATTATACAAGTTTGATTCTAGCATTTCCAATTTCTTTGCTATCGAATACTACAATGATAGTTAAACCCTTTAAATCTCTAACTTGGAGTCTTTCGTTAAATTTGAATGGTCCGGTTCCAGGACGATTAAAAGACAATTGATTTCTAATTTGATTAGTAAAATCAAATATTACATTATTATTATTATCAATAATTAAGAATTCATAATCATTTCTATCTCTGCTTATAAAACCACTGTTGAATTGTCCAGTTATATATGTGAATGTTTTTGAACTCTGTGTAAAATGGATTTCACCAGAAACTCTTTTTACATCACCATTGTCATCAAATGATGCAAAAGCAACAGCACCTACATTACGTTTTTCGGAGAGAATTGGCGATGCATTGATAAAAACATTCGATAAAATCGTAATAATTAAAAGAGCAAATGTTAAGATTTTAAAAGATTTTGACAACATTTTTTTTTATATATTATTTTTTTTTTTTATAATAATATTATTTAAATGTTTTGAGAAACTTTATGTCAAAGAAACGGGCGATTGCACTTTTATTTATACGATTTTTTTTTTCAAGAAAACCGTCCATTAAAATGAGGCTTTTCTATAAATTTGGCGTAACAAATTCCTATTTTTAAAAAAAACACGGGGAACGAAATTTTTAATAAAAAGGCCTTATTATTATAACCTGATTTTTAATTTTTTTTTAATAAGTGTAACCAGTGACCCTTTTTTCTTCTCTATTATAATAATGAGACATTTCTAAATTTTAAAGTAATATCAATCGTAATGTTGGCGGTCCTGTAATAATACAGTTTAGTTAATCAATAACTAATCTTATATAACTCTTGCAGAACCCATGGTATGGTGTGGTACAAGTGTAATAAAACGTTTGTATACCAATGCTTAAATCTAACACGCTTCCCCCAAAAAGGATGGGCCATACCATATTATACCATACCATACATCTTTACCATACTGAATTTCTCTCTACCGTGCGAAACTTGCTAGTTTTTAAAATAGAAAAAAGTCGCGTGATTGCGCAAAAACCCATTTTATGGGTAAAACTTGATCAAATTGATCAAATTGATTTCAATAAGTTGCCTTAAAGTAAAAGTTAAGGCTACTATGATCTTGTTATATTTATTTATTTTTTAAAATATGAATGATAACATTTTACTATTAATAAGTCATTATTATACTTGCAGGTAAAAACTTGTTCTATATTCTCATTATTATTATACTTTAAATAACTTATATTAAACTTTTTCCAATAATACAAAGATCACATATATCTTTGATTTTTTATGACGCACTTAAAAAACAAATAATGATTTTTAAACAACAATAACAGATATACTCTCGGTATAATTATAGAATGATGTATACAATTTAGGAGCGTATTTAAAACATACTTATATTTATATTTATATTTTTATATTTACATTTGCATTTATTTTTATTTATATATATATATATATATATATATATATATATATACGGTATTGTATAATGGATGATTGAAGATAAAATATTGATTTGATGAAGTCGATGAAAAGTTGAAAAGTAAATAATATATTAGGCAGTATATAACGAAAAATCAAGCCTATGTATTAAAAACATTCAAATAAAGAAATACTATATTAATATTTTTATTTTTTATCAATTCGAAACATGAAATCAAATGCCCACTATGCTATTATATATTAGTATTTATTTTAATTATATCATACTGAATATCCCTATAATCAGTTTTACAACATAAAAAAGTTCGCGTTAATGCTGTATATAATCAATTAATTAACGATGTTAGTCGGCTAAGAACTTAAATAAATCCCAGTTGATGAAAAAATTTTCAGATGGTACTAAGCTCGCCGGTATTACTATTACTACTGCTAACGTTATTATTACCATAATTGTTATTTACTATTATTTACTATTGTTATTATAATATCTCGTCTTTAATTTAACGGTTCAAATAAGGTTCATTCAAATTATTTGTTTTATTCGTCATTATTATTATTATTATTATGAATTTGTGTATTCGAATTTCATTAAAAGTTCATTCGAATAAATGAATAAAACAAATTATTCCAACCTGTAAAAATTTACTCCGTAATTAGTGTTTTTGCTAAATTCGGTGTTTTTTTCGTTTATATTAATATTAATATTAATAAAAATAAATTAAAATATACATTTCCGTGTTTTTTTTTCACATAATAATAATAATAAATGTATTAGTATCATATTCACGAAATCTATAGTTCCGTTCTCATAATAATAAACAATAGAGGTTTCTGATATTTACTGAATAAATTTAATTAATAAATGGATAAAGCTCGGATAAATGATTGAGCATTTACTGAATAATTTTAATTAATAAAATGTATAAAGTTTGGATAAATGACCGAATAAATTAATTAATAGAGTAGATAAAGTTCGGATAAATGACCGAATAAATTTAATATAATAAATAGTAAGAAAACAACAAAATCAATCCGGTGCAACATTCAATCTATTAAGTTAATGTTAAGTATGAATGTAAATTTATTATGAAAAGTCTTAACCGTTTTACAATCATAAATAAATAAAAAATAAATAAAGAAAAAATAAATACAATTATCATAGAGCAGTGTTGTGACCAGAAACTCTTTTGGCTTCCCGAAACGTTTCGGAAAATGAACTTACACTAAGCAGAAAACTAAACATAAACATAAACATAAACATAAACATAAATTACTAACCTAAACTAGTTTTGGGTGGTTTCTGTTAGTTTCTGTTTCGGGTTTTCCCTAAACTCAGAGTTTCGGGTCACAACACTGTCATAGAGGCAATAATTTGTTGTTCATGCTAAGACATAAGTATATCAAAAGTAAAGAATTACTTGGGATCAATTACAATGATTTCTTTTAGAATAATTAGATTTTGATATATAATAAAAAACTTGCAAATAAATATTATTTAATTAAAGACTTCATACGATTTATTTATTTTTAATAATCTTTATATTGTTATGAATTATAGTTATGGAATACTTATTTTGAGAGTCAAGAAAATGCGAGAATTTTTTACACACAAGAATGTTTAGGATCTAGAAGAAAAAAATTTAAATTTGAGAAAAAATTGTATGACAACTTGATTCTTTTGATATGTCATTGTTTGACTATAATAACTAGAGTGACGACGCCATCACCACCATTTTTATGACATTTCATTTTCTTTTCTTCATTTTTGACATTTTGAAAAAATTAATTTTTTTTTTAAGAAAAAAAAAGACACGTTTAAAAAAAATTAATATTATTATTGGCACGAGGATTTTTTTTGAGGACAGACGCGAACTGATTTTTCCAAGATGACAAAACGTGAGTGTTGCTGTTTGGTATGACATGGTTTGGTTCTGAAGACATGTTAATAACTAACCAGAGGCACGATTTTTATTTGCATTGATATATATATTTTTACTTTTTTTTATTTGTAGTTTTTTGATACTCAAAATACATATTAATATTAATATTAATATCAGTCGCAGGACATTGCAGATCTACAGGGGTCAAGTGTCACTCATATATTAATATGTAAAATCGAAGAAAAAATCACTCTGGTACACACAAACCTACCCGATTTAACTACTATTGGTGTTCAACATACCGTGGAAGATTCCAATCCCTGTTTCCACATCATAATGAACACGCCATCTCTAAAATTAATAACACCTCAATTTCACAGAAACTTCAAACCTCAAGAAAAGTAAAATTCAAAAAAAGACCAAATTTTTTAATTTTATGCTTAAATAATTGCTATCCTTAAAATTTATAATTATCTTTCCTCCCATGCAATTGCTCTGGTGTTTTTATCTTAATATATAATATTTATGCATATAAATTAAAATCATTATGTATTTTCTCTTAATTGAAACAAACAAATAAAACATTACTTAACTTTTTTGCTATTATTTAATCTTTTGCCACCACTATTGTATCATGTCTATTACAATATTCATGATGATTATGCCAATGCATTTGATGTTGTTATAACAAATAATTGCATCATCCAAGTAATAACAATACTAAGATCATGCAGAAATGAACTTTTGGTAAAGTCACTTAATGTCCTGACAAACAAAATGAGAAAATCTGAGAGGGTAGTGATTTCCATTGTCCTTAAAAATGAATGATACTGAAGGGTGGAGAATAAATAAAACCCATGACGTTTTTGCTGATTTTAACCCATGATTTCTTTCCATGTAAGATAATGGCAGTGGATGGTCAAGTCTCCCTTTTTGTGCACGTGTGTTGTAGATGTTGTGTAGGTTAGTTCATCAGGCGTGACCTTACTAGTGACCATTCACAAAAAATAAATCTGACTAATATTATCACGGGTGCAGATTTAATAAAATTTCCTGTATCAAACATTGAAGTTGAGTCCAGCATGACCATGGAACTTTTTCCCACAGACGAAGGCTCCCAAACATTTGAAGGCTTTGGATAGGTGAAAGCTTTAGCCAGTGTTGGCAATTGGTCATTAAGCAGCCAAGATAACGAGAGATCTTTTTTTTAAATTAATAATTTTCCACAAATCATCAATGGCCAACACCAGCTTTAGCAGTCTCTTTGACAATGATGCAATTTCATGCAACCTCAGGGCCCCACTCCCCACCCCTGAGAATTACTTGCATCATATTATCATCGGGGGGCGAGGTAAGCTTAGCCTTTTTGTACATTCTCGAGGAATATAAGAATAATTGTTTGAACAATACATTTCAACATCTAAAAGTTTCCAAATACTGTATATTGAATTATTTTGTGTTTCCAGGTTGTCCAAGTTCGTTCAGGTTTCCATATGTGTGGGAGAGAGAGAGAGAGAGAGAGATCTCCAGTCATGTTGTCTTTTTCCATTGACATTTCTTATTTATTGACAAAAGTATACCAATCATTTATGATGATAATGTAAAGACTAGATTTTGCTCGTGTTCATACGTGATATTTAGGTTATTATGTAAAAATAAAAAATAAAATTTTAACATACCTTCTTCAATGAAAGCCAATTTATTTTTATTTTTTTTTTTTTTTTTAAAAAAAAAATTTTTGGTACGCGACCAAAAATTTTTTTCCAAATATAATAATAAATAAAAAATGTCAAAAAATTTTTTTTCTAACTAGAGTGATGATGAGCGGCGATAGCCACCACCATCCTTACGATAAACACTTATCTTGTGATATCTTCCCAGGAATTTTCTTTTTATTTTCTTTTTTTCTTGCCTACGGCAGCAGACATTTTTTTTTTTATTAAATCTTTAATATTAAAGAAAATTTATTTATTGGCACTTGGTGTTGCACAGATTTTTTTTTTGTTGACGCGATAGATTTTTTTCCTTGGAAGATGCCAAAACACACGAGTGTTGTTATTTGGTTCTGAAGAAGTGTTAATAACTAACCAGAGGTACTATTTTTTATTTGTATTGATATTTTTATAAATATTTTAATTGGAATCTATAAAATCTTTATCAACAACGAATGATTGGTATTTTGCTTTTTGTAATTGTTAATAATATTAATATTACTATAATTTAACTACAAGATGTCAAGGCAACACACTGTTGAAAAAGAAACATTTCAATATGTGACGTTTGAGTATCGGAAATTGGCAGGTGTTGAGCATGCATGCTACCTTGAACACTTTACAGTCATTCTCACATCTTCCTCGTGTACATAAGGCTAAACTGACTGGTGTGCTCCGGATGATACATTGATGTTGTTAAAT